AATAAAATTAGTGATAATTTTTTTAAAATTTTTTAATAATAACTAATATAAAAAATATATACTAATTATACTCACAAAACTCACAGGATAGAGGAACCTGTGCCTTCTATTTTTTTCGGAGGTGGAAGGGTGGAATGTTCGGGAATTACATTACACCACCAGAGCGAACAAGGACGAGGGCAGAATTAGTTTTAAGTAGTCTCAGGCTATCAGCGTTTGTGAATGTCAAGCATCAACATTTGGTGTAGAGCCATCCGGTTCCGATTACCAGGCCTCGATGGAACTACTTCCAGTTCTAGTATCATCTGTGTCCGTACTGGGTTTGCTACCTTCTCCTCCAACCATTATCACTCGATTCACTCCACAACTCTAAAAAAGATCCTTCCTTTTCCGGTAGTGCGTGGTGGGTTTTTTAGCATGTCATCTTCTTCAGATGCCCGTTTCAACTTGTCCGACACCGCTGCACTCCAAATCAAGAAAGGGGACATCACCCAGTGGTTCATAGACGGCACCTCCGATGCTATTGTAAGTGCTTTGCTCTGCTATCTACAAAATTGGATTTTTATGGTATTTGCTGATGGTTGTTTTCTTCGCTTTTTCATTGCTTAATCTCATCCTAAACTTGTCATTTCTATACAGTTATCTATGCTTAGGACAGGAATTGGGTTTTGAATCTGGGAGCTAAAAGTTTCTACTAATTTCCAAACCTTAATATATATATATATTCAGCATTTTTAATTGCCCACTGTTGGTGCTACAACTTGAATTGAATTCTCCAGTACAAGGATGAAGGAAGGAAGGAAGGAAGGAAGGAAGGAAGGAAGAAAGGGTGTATTATTCAGAAAATTTAATTTATTATTTTGTTTTTCCATACTTCCATTGCTATATATAACTACAAAGAGCATGCAGTGTGTATCTATTGTTTCAAGTTGAGGTGAGATTTTCAAATTCTCTCTGCCTGTTGGACATGGCTATGTTATGCTTTCTTTATAGAATAGAATGGTTATAATGCTCTCCCTTTCTTCTTCGACATGAGATGCTTTTGTTTGGCCATTAATTCCTGGCAAGAATTCTTGGTCGCATGATCTTTTACTGACTAAATTTGGTGTGGTTACTAAATAATTGTATTTCTTTTTGCAGGTTAATCCAGCAAATGAGCGCATGCTTGGAGGTGTTGGTACAGATGGGGGTAATCTTACCCATAATATATATTTATATATATATAGATTTTTTTTTTCTTTCACTCAAACCATATATATATGTCACTAGAACTACTAATGACTTTTTATTCATTTCCTTTAGCCATTCATAGGGCAGCTGGTCCAGAACTCCTGGAAGCATGCTACAAAGTGCCAGAAGTTCGAGCTGGAATTCGTTGCCCTGCAGGAGAAGCAAGGATTGCCCCGTAGGTTCTTCCTACTTGAACAATGTTAATTACTGCACTAATTAGTTTACTAACATGTTGAAAACGTACAGTGGTTTTAAACTGCCCACCTCACATGTTATTCACACTGTTGGTCCTGTCTACAATGGGGACAGTGACCCTGCAGCCTCTCTGAAAAGCGCATACAAGTATTTCTCAGCTTGTTTTTCTTTAACACCATCTCTATTAATATTTCATTTATCATTGTAAATAAGACCAATCTTCTCTAGCTAAATTGGTTACAGGAACAGCTTGGGGGTGGCTAAGGAAAATAACATTAAATATATTGCATTCCCCACAATATCTTGTGGTGTGTATGGGTATGCCAATACTAAAAAACCTTTGTTAGGAGCTTAGGATAACAACTTACTTGTACAAGGTTCCGAGAATTGATTTATAAAATGAAATCTAACTGAAATCATAAATTTTGTATTTTAGTGTGATCCTTTCATTTAACTTTTTCTTTCTAAAATTCTTTCAGATATCCTTTTGAGGAAGCTGCCACAGTTGCCATATCTACAGTCAAAGAATTTGTGGATGACTTGAAAGAGGTAGAGAAGAAGCACTTAGCTTACATATTAAGTTTAATTGTGAAATCTTGAAAAGTTCATGTACTTCGTCTTCACTTTTGCCAAAGTAACTTTCATCCTCTAGTTCCAGTTGCTTCACCTCATCCGTTATGAACTGCTATCCCTAGTACTCACAGTTCTTGAATTTTGAAGAAATTGCATGTCTTTATATTAACATGTTTTGAGAAATGGTTTTGATCACATTGACCAAATTTTAAGCTCTCTATTGTGGGTGTTGATCAAGAATACAACTTTTGGCACCATTTTTCTCATTGAATAAGTTCGGGTTTGTTTGTTTATTTGTGAATGAGGTAACTGAATTCACTTGTTGGAAATTTGGCTTCTGCATTTTTTAAGGTTTTAACAACCCACTGTTGCGCTATCAAATTGGGCACCTTTGTTGACGTTTACACCGCAAACAATATATTAAATGGCTACACGGGATGCAAAGAATTGGGCATTGCTCACAAGCTGTTCGATGAAATTCCCCACAAAGACACTGTATCTTGGAACACATTGATTGCTGGGTATGTGAATTCTGGGAACTTAGTTACTGCATGGGAGATTCTAAAAGTTATGAAAAGATGTGAGTTTGGTGTTGATGGGTATACCTTTGGAAGCATACTCAAGGGTGTGGCTTATGCATGTAGAGTTGATCTTGGGGAGCAGGTGCATTCGGTTGTTGTTAAGACTGGTTATGGGGAAAATGTGTATGCAGGGAGTGCTCTTTTGGATATGTACGCCAAGTGTCAAAGAGTTGAGGATGCATATATGGTGTTTGAATGCATACCAAAACCTAACTCTGTCTCATGGAATGCATTGATTGCTGGATTTTCACAAGCAGGAGATCATGGCACTGCTTTTTGGCTTTTAGATTGTATGGAGAAAGAGGGAGTGAGGCTAGATGATGGAACGTTTGCTCCGCTTCTCACACTACTTGATGATTCTGTCTTTCACAAGTCAACAATGCAAGTTCATGCCAAAATTCTCAAATGCAGTTTGGAATTTGAAAATACTGTTTGCAATGCATTAATAACTTCATATTCAGAATGCGGTTCAATAGGAGATGCCAAAAAAGTGTTCGATAATGCTGTTGGCGTGCGAGATTTGGTCACTTGGAATTCCATGGTAGCTGCTTATCTGGCTCATGAGAAAGAAAAACTTGCTTTTACACTTTATCTTGATATGCAAAAGATGGGCTTTGAACCAGACATCTATACCTACACCAGCATCATAAGTGCTTGTTTTGAAAAAACACATAAAGACCATGGAAAACTGTTGCATGCAGTGGTGATAAAGAGGGGGTTGGAACAGTCGGTACCAATCTCCAATGCATTAATATCAATGTATCTCAAATCACATAATAAGTCCATGGAAGATGTTTTCAAAATTTTTGAGTCCATGGAGTCAAAGGATCGGGTATCTTGGAATTCCATCTTGACTGGTTTCTCTCAAATTGGGTTGAGTGAAGATGCATTGAAATTCTTTGGATATATGAGATCTTCATCAGTGGAAATTGACCACTATGCCTTTTCAGCTGTTCTTAGATCTTGCTCTGATTTGGCAACCCTTCAATTGGGTCAACAGGTTCATGTTTTCGCAATTAAATCAGGCTTTGAGGAAAATGACTTTGTAGCTGGTGCTTTGATCTTTATGTACTCGAAGTGTGGGATAATTGAAGATGCTCGAAAGTCCTTTGAAGTGACCCCAAAAGATAGCTCAATTACTTGGAACTCGATTATCTTTGGGTATGCACAACATGGGCAGGGCAATGTTGCGCTCGACTTATTCTTTCTAATGAGGGAAAGCAAGGTGAAGCTGGATCACATTACCTTTGTTGCGGTTCTAACTGCATGTAGCCATGTTGGCCTTGTAGAAGAAGGCCAAAAAATACTAAAATCTATGGAACTTGATCATGGGATTCCACCTCGTATGGAACATTATGCTTGTGTGGTTGATTTATTTGGAAGAGCTAGGCGTTTATATGATGCAAAAGCCTTGATTGAATCGATGCCATTTAAACCTGATGCAATGGTGTGGAAGACTTTATTAGGTGCTTGTAGGGCTTGTGGCAACATTGAATTAGCTACACAGGTAGCTAGCCACCTATTAGAGTTAGAGCCTGAGGAGCATTGCACCTATGTTCTACTTTCTAACATGTATGGCCATCTTAGGAGATGGGATGAGAAAGCTAGTGTAACAAGGTTGATGAGGGAGAGGGGGGTGAAAAAGGTTCCTGGTTGGAGTTGGATAGAGATTAAGAATGAAGTGCATGCTTTCAATGCTGAAGATCGATCCCATACCCATTGCAAAGAGATATATCAGATACTGGGGGAACTGATGGAGGAAATAGGGTGGTTAGATTCTGACTCACATGCAAATCTTTTGACATTTGATTTTGATAGTACATATGAATATAGTGATCTAAAACTCCTAAGTGCAGGTAGTTTTCTATGGTTCCCAAACAATGAAGAGAATGTCTATGTTCTTCTGAGTATTCATCCTTGATTCGAATGATGTACACTATAGGTCAGATAACTGATTTTTCCCTTTGTGAGAAATGTTTTGTAAGCTATAGACTACAGCTGCAATGAACCAAACAATCCATGTGATGCAAATGTGGGACTTTCCTACTTAAAATTTGTTATTCTTCTCCATGGGGCCAAACCTGATGCAGTCATAATGTATTCAGAGGTTAACTCTGATAACTATTTTTCATTTGAGAAGTGCAAATGCAAGGGGCAAATGGAAATGTGGACGAATTTCTACTCAGAGGAAGTGCCATAATTGCAAGAGTCTCTTGTCCAATTTTCAGGTGATTGTTCTTTGGAAATCAATCAGAATCTTAAATCCTTTTCTTTCTTCCTTTTTTCTTATTTTTTGTATCCAGTGTTTTAAGCATCTTTGTTGCTTTGATGAACTAGAAGTTTTATTTACCTTGTGGAGAAAGAATAGTAAAGAGGATAGCTATTTTTCCAAAATGCATAAAAACTTGATCTAATGACCTTTGTTTAAGAACAGAGACATTTAACCTTTTTTCACAAGTTTTAAGGTTATAGCCTTCAGCTAAGTCACCAACTGATGTTACTTTTTGCTGAAAAGTCTGAATTCTTTGTTCAATTCTGGGTCTCTCTTCATTTATAAGTTGTAAATTGAAATTAATATGTTGTCAACTGTGTTTCAGAGGTGAGTTAAACAAAAACAACTGGCAAAGCAACTGGGTGCTATCTGCAGCATCAATCAAATATGAAAGCAAAACAAGGAATGTTCTGGGTTATCGTGCAGTTAAGGAAGAACAGATAAGCTGTGCTTTTTCAGCTTGATGACTTGAAGACAGTTTTACTAGCTGATTCCCAGTGCTCACAACTCTTAGGAGATGAGAGAGCATCTTGGTTGCTTTCTGGAGTGAGGATTCAAAGGTCAGTAAGAATTTACAGCATTAACAAGCTTGAAACCATGTCAATTATGAACTCCTTTACATTTTTATAATTGTGTATATTCAATAAAACCCTGCAATATGTTTGCCAATGGCTTTCTGTTCAACTTGGCATGAGATGGATATTAAATGAACATCTTTTTCTTTTTTTCAATACTTCTGGTGGTCTCATCTCAGCTTGCTTTTCAGGGGAGAAGAATGTCAGGAAACCGAGGCATAGGTACAGCAATTCTATTGATGGTTCTTCAATTATGGAAGTCATTGAGACAAAGAAAGCTATGGTTCCTGATAAGCTGGCCAAGCTATGGACTGTTGATCCAAAGAGGGCAAAGAGGTTTGCCCTGCACCGCGTCTCTTTTTTTC